GTGAACGGAGGTTATATATAGGAGTGCAGGCACTTAAAAAACGCGCTGAAGTTTGTGAGATCATTGTCTAGAGTCATATATAAACCGGTTAATGAAGAAAACCGTATTTCTAGTGAACCGGTTTAAAAACCTGTTCAAAGGAGCTGAACCTTTTATGTAAAATTCCGCATGTACTTACGTCGAACCGTTTCGAAAAATAAACCTGTTTCCAAGCCCTGGTTCGGCCAAGGGCCGATCATAGAATGGGTAACCAAAAGTTATCATCTCAAGCTTATCCGTGCTTCGAAAGGCACTTTTAGCCGTTTGTTCCGGCCGCATCTGCAGTCGTTAACAGCCACCAATCCACACTGGGCACTTATATTGTATTATGGGCCGTTTCCTAATTAATTGCAATTATAGTAAAGGACTGGGCCCCAGAGGCGATGATAAACTTTGAAACGTCAATTATTGACAACTGATTGATCGGTGGTACGAAAAAGCATTGAAAAATTATCTAATCGCAAAGCAGAAATAACATCTCGGTCACGGCACCAGTTTAAAGCAAAGTGGCAAATAACAATAAAATTTCAAAATATCATAAGCAGGAATAAATTAAATCAACAAACTTGTCCCAATTATCATTTTTGTGACGATTGCATTTTAAAGTAAATTGTTTCCCAAATATTTATAATTAAATATTTGTTTTAAGTCATACATTACAAATAGTCTTTTGAATCTGCATTCAAAGCTATATAGCTCATTAGAATGCAACGCTAGTCTAGTCTAGCCGATCAACGCATGACAAATTATATTTAAAAAATTAAAACATACCAAACTCACATGATAACGCTTGCAATAAAATACATTTTAGAATCACTACTATTCTCTAGAGCAGGCGAAAGAAAACAATTTAAAAGAATTATGTGAACGTTGATAGTATAAAATACATATCGCTACCCATACAATTCTGTATTGTTACCACAAAATACTGTTTATTGTTCTATCAGATATGGCCAATAACCTATAGCATCCCGTACAACAAAACGTAATACAACACATAACGATACAGATTTATATGGCTAGCGATACGTATAATTTATTTTCAACGCTTACATATTAATTTGTCATTGTCTGTTTATACAACGTGTCCCAAAATTCAACGATAAGCGGGCGCCAAAAGGTAGACCTGCTCATGTGTACTTATGGAAAAATGAGAAAAAAATTATATCTTATTAATCTTTTTTATTATAAAACTAGCTGACCCGACAGACTTCGTCCTGTCAAAAAGATTTGTAATGTGGCAGTTTTTTTGCCTACGTATTTAAAAAAATTCTCTTGAACAGAACCGTCACCCTGGTGATAGGGCGTTGTGAATAAAAAATAATTAAATAAAACATATATAAGGATTTAAAAGTAAGTAATCGCTTTATTGTTAATCATGTGAATCATAATTATTATTGCAATGTATTAATAGTAATAGTATTAAATATAGAAAAAAGAGATTTTTATGATCATAAAAACACATTACACACAACAGCATTATAAAAGTAAACTATTCGAATTAAAAAAATATATAAACATTCTCAAGGAAAAATGCTGGAAGAATCCATCTACCTGTACCCCGGAATGGGACTCGAACCCATTCGCGATCCAGGGACTGCTCTAACCAATGAGCTATCTAGGACCCAACAGCTTTGCTACTACAGAGCGTATTTTCATCAATGTTCCGGCAATACATGTAATGACGTGGAAACTGATGCATTTTATCTCGCGTGCCGAAACTAATACAAAAGAAACGCGAGTTTCGGAACGCGACATTAAACTCCTCCAACTATGTATTCTGTGCTCCAACGCACACACGCACATTGTTTTGTGATAGATATGATCTTTGACGTTAGGAACACACCTACATTGCTTAGACAACAGTGAGTGCTTGTAATTTAATATGAACTTTATACCATAGCAATAAAGCTCAAATTGACTACGTTTTAGTTACAAATCATTTGTATGGGAAAAAGAAAAGGGCTATTTTTAGGGTTTTTCCAGCAATAATTCTAATTTTTCTCGCCGTAAAAACCATCCTTGAACTTCAACGAACATTTTAACAAAATTTTTGGCCAAATTGGTCGAGGCTTTGTTGAGTTATGCGCTTACCAACACATTTTGCGATTCATTTTTATATATATAGATAAAATTCGAAAATTTTCGAAAGAGTTGTAGCGAATAGTAGTGCTACTTAGGTATCCGATACCAAAAAAAGATTGAACATAATTGAGAAGTTGTGGTCGTGGTAGTTGAAAATATCATAAAAGGTGTAAATTTTCGAAGATTTTCGAATTTAATTTTATAATAAAAAAGATTAGATATAATTTTTTTCTTATTTTTCCATAAGTACACATGAGCAAGGGTACCTCTTGGCGCCCGCTTATCGTTGAATTTTGGGACACGTTGTATAGATAATAGAAATGGACTATTGGGCCTAGAGTTATGAAAATCGTCATACAAATCTTTAGCATTTCATATTACAAAACATGGCATCCAATGAAATATATCTCTTGAGATATAAATCATAAAAAAATCTAAGGCAATCCTAATTTAATTACGAATAATTATTTTGTGTCATAACCAGTGATGTGAGCAGGAAGATTGATCTTTAATACTTGTATTATAAAAGCAAATAGAAAGAATAGATAAGACATTTCACTGGAAAATATAGTCAATTCAAAATAATAAAAAAAACCTACCATTACTATTTTTGTTACTTTTCAATTATTATAGAGGTATCTACATTCAGCCTGCAGTTTCGTAATTGAATCTCATTTTATATTTCGAAATCAGATTTATCTTCAATTTTCATACATTCCTTATCTAACTTATGGGAAAAAATCCCAACCACTAATAAATTCTGGAAGAATATCCACATTAACGTATCATATTTCAGGTTAATGACCCCAATGCAATCAACCTATTGTAATCACTGGTTACAACTGTCTATAGTTTTGTCACTGGCTTGAACAAGAATGAGCAAGTGATAGACAATCGTCCACACTATTCACTCACTAATAAATATAACAATCAAAACTATAGTGAGAAAAATTATTAAGTATGAAGTGATATTTATATTTTTTTCAATATATCGCTCAATGAATAGTACAGTGGCACAACTCAAAAACCATTATTTCGAGAAACGCTCTCCGAAGTTGTGAAAATTTAATATATTTATAATTATGAAAATCAAATTTTTTAGCATAACAGTTAAATCGTTTGTATTAAATTATTACTGTTAAGTTTTTTATTTTTTCTTTAAATTATCTATGGGATGCCACCACAATGTAGAGGCGTTTTCTCGAAATAATGGTTTTTGAGTTGTGCCACTGTACTATTCAGTGAGCGATATTTTCTATAAGATATAGAGTTATATTATTACTGTTCTGTTAGAACCTATCCGCATTGCGACATTTCACTGCACGTTTTTATTCTAGCAACTTTAACACAATTAATAAAAGACATGGGTAGTTAATAATAATTTTAAAATATCGCACACCTAGATCTAAACTGTGACAACTCAAAAATTTGAGTGAGTTTTGACTTAGTACAATATTCAAATTCTCTGTGATCATACGCATCTATCCAACATAAAAGATTCAATAAGGTTCGGGGATGAGCCGCTAGTTAACTTTAACTTTCTTTTGTTGAATCAACAGTGGTCGCGCTCGGTAGCAAACAAATGTATTGTCAGACCTCCACATAAGTTTTTTGAGTTTTTTTTTTTTTTTAATATGGACTTGTTCCATTATACACGGAAATTTTGCCAACATCCCATAGTGAGAGAAACCGGTAACGGAACGGTAGTTATAATTTCAATTGTCTGTGTAATTAATACAATTCTTCCTTGAGATTGTTCTTTCTCTACGTTTAGATCTAGGTGTAAGATAAGCAATATACATGCTGAAATATCGCAGTATAAACAAGTATTCAGATAAGCGATCTCAGGATTAATCAACTATACATTTCAAACGATTTGAATTATCTTCCTCATTGGCAGTCCGACAACTTTAATATTTAACCTCTTTCAAATCAAAGAAGTACCTTTTGTCAGTTAGCATGTGTAATCCAAAATGTTAGTTATACAATGGAAGTATATTTCAATTCTCTATCCACTTAAAGATTCATACTGTCGGTTGCACAAACGTCCATTAAGGTTTAATGACGCCTTTAAGCTCTAATGAATGTCAAACTTGTATGGGTAATGTTGCTTTAAACTAATGAAAAAATTAATGGACGTTTGTGCAACTGGCTGATAGTTACAAATGTAACCGAAATAATTTTGTCGAATTAATTCCTGATTATTTAAGAGACCAGTTGGTAGTGTGGAAATACCTTTTTTTCTTTACAACTACAACGATTGTGTACGTATTCTATAGTTTTTAGTACTTAAAATGAAATATAGATGACACTACTAAGAAAAAATATACAATTAAATAGTCTGTAACTTTATATATCGCTTGATAAGTCTGTGTTATATCACTGAGTGCATATTTCAAATGTGCCAAAATTAGTTACGTGTAACTTGTTTTTAGTTCCATGCAATTACTTTTGTAATATAAATTCAGCTTATCAATAGCAACAACAAAAAGCTGCACAGTTAGTACTTAAAAACAATCTAAATAATAAAGTAAATCGACCACTTTTTTTATTTTGTTTACCTTATATTTTACGTAATAATAATAAAACAGGTGGTCAGCAGATTCTTACATAAAGGGGTGGGGGGTGAATAACTAACAAAAATCGACTTACATTAAATCGAACACGCCATTACCACTTATCTGAGTAGGTATCAGAGAGGTTCATTGACCGCAAACATTCATGTTAATATGGATATTCGACGGGATTCAGATTGACTGATTTTGAGGAACAATACTTATGATAGTATATTCTTGTACAACTTAAAAATCAAAATGTTAATTGTTGATCCTAGTATATATAGTAAACTGTTACATAAAAAAAATATATGTGGTTTAATGAATCAAGTTTCTATTTATTATATTATCCTTAAATTTAAACCCATCCTCCTTATACTTATCTGTCAGAGAGAAAGTTTATTATTTCATTATACCCTTGTGAATAGTTCTTATTGTTTTTCTGCTTAAAAAGCAAACCCCGGGATTCAGGGAATATCCATATTATTCTAACATATGGCAAGTACACAAAACAACTCTACCCACTCTGGTCTATGGTCATAAACTATTGAATAATATTAATAAATGAGTCCACGATCTTCACATTTCCACACAACACAAGTTTCTTTCACAATACACTTGAAACTTGTTAACGTCACTGAACGAGCACAGATCACTATTTCCCCAACATGGCCGCTATGAGACCTGGTGCCTCCACCATATACATTCCAGGATCCTGTTTCTCACAACTGACCACCGTGAGCTTTCCTCTGCCCTCATCGTTGATCTCCATATATTTTACAGCCCGACAGAGCATTTCTTCGGTCACTTGTTTTGGGAAATCTGTTAAAAAATAAAGTTTAAATATTTGTAAAAATATTCCTATCGGCTGTTCGGGTGGATTGTCTGAACATTGATGAATATACTCTGTAATAGTGAAACAGTAACAAGTGTTTGAAAGATTTGTCATTCCTGTAAGGTCCTGGGTAGCTCAGTGGTTGGAGCAGTCGCCCGGATTGCGGGAGTGCCAGGGACAAAGTGGATTTATTAAGCACTACCTTTTGCCCGCGACTTCGTCCGCGTGGTAAAGTTACTTTGAGCAGCATTTATAACGAATATTTATTCATTATATCATGTAAAATACCTGAAAAAAAAATGTCTTATCCTCTTAGTTTATGCCCTTAGGGTTGGAATTTATCAAAATCCTTTCTTAGGGGATGCTTACGTCATAGTAGTTTTATGCATGCAAACTCTCAGCCCTTAAAATTGACAAATTTTCATCCCCTTGGAGGTAGAATCAATCAAAATCCTTTTTCAGAGAATGCCTACGTCATAGTAGCCTTATTGATAGATCACTATGTCAGTCAGTCACCTTTGAGTTATATATATTTAGATTATTTTCCCGTGGGAATGCGTCATTTTCCCGCGGTAAAAAGTAGCCTATGTCCTTTCTTGGGTATTAAAATATCTCCATATCAAATTTCATGCAAATTGGTTCAGTGTTACTTTCGCATTTATAATATTAGTATAGATTTTTCATTAAGAATATTCTTAATAGGGTTCCCATTTTAATCATTGGGTAGGGAACCCTAATAATAAGATTCAACATCATCATCATTATTAGCCCTTTCACGTTCCCACTGCAGCGGCTCAGGCCTTCCTTATGGATGGTTAAGGAGTATGGGCCATGACCCTCCACGCTGGCAAAATGCGGATTTATTTATTTATTTATTTATTAACGACCGCAAATGCAGCCGTGACCAACGTCTCAACGATAATAACTTTTCGGTCACCCATCCCGTGACCGACAACTCCATAAGTTGCTTAACGACAACGATTACAATTTTGCTACTTTACTTCTGATCTCGACGTGTGTGGCCAACGCCGGCTGTCCACGAACGAACTCTGGCAGCATCTTCCTGAGCATGGAAACCGGAACAGACTCGATGTTACCGTAATCCAAGTAGCAGACGTTAGCCGTATCGTCCCCTGGACTATGAGTCAATAGTACAGCGCGGAACCACTGCGGATCTGTTAACAAAAAAAAAAACATTAATTTTACAATAGTTGATAACTAATTTTTGTTTTGCTTATCCGTCGGGTAGATTTTGGAGGAATTTTAAACGCCAAATTTTTTAATTTACATCGAATTGAAATTGCGTATGACGTCGCGCCTTTGTACATTTTCTACGTTGTTAAGAATTGTAGTGAACTTCAAGGTTTGTTATGGCAAATTTTTTTATTAAAAAACGTGAATTAAGGTTATGCCTATTTTGCGTTTCACTTATTATTTTTCGAATTAGAAAAAGGTTGATTAGAATTTTCGTATTATCGTTTTCGTAGCTTTAATTGCCTTTTCTTTTGAATTAATGTTGAAAAAACACCTTATTCTAGTAAATACATTTAAATTGTGAAGTGAAACTATGTAGTTTGCTGCAAGTTTACTTTAGTTGGACTATCTACCACACCACAGGTAGGGTTAACTTGGGTTTCCGCGGTAAGTCTGGACAAACTAACGATCCCTAGAAGGCCTGAGGCATCATTATGGTCCACCTTCAGCGGAACTGGGAAAGTAACCTTGTAAAAACCAGAAGTAATAATTGTATCGTGTTATTTCGTTTTGATATTAAAACTGCAGTCCATTAAATATTAAAAATACACAGATGTGATGTAGCGAGCCCCCACTCTTCAACTTAATGACTATTATTTAAGAAATTTCTTGTAAAATTTAATTTATAAAAAAAATATACGTATCTAATATTTTTCTATTTTCTGAAGTAGAATCAAAATGAACCACCGCGCTGGGCCAATACGAATTGGAGAGTATAAATGAACCTTGCACGGAGTAGCTCGATAATTTTTTTTTGGTCATCCATCCCGTGACCGACCACAACGAAAGTTGCTTAACAACAAAGATTGCGGGCCGCAGCGCTTATCAACTACGCCACCGAGCTGCTTTATATATAAATAAATAAAATTTTAAGTGAATAAATATAAAAAACACTCACAAGGTGGGCAGCGTGCTATACACAACTCTTCATTTTTAGGCAAATATGGCTCCTTGCCCAATTCACTGTCACAATACTCGCCCATCTGCAATAAATATTTATTATTATTTATAAAACGGCGGGTAAAAAGCCAGAAAAACATGCATTAACACGATTAACCATTCAAATTCGAAAAAAGTATGGAATATGAGCATGTTTTTAATATGATTATGAGTAAAGGCTATTATAAAGTTGATGATTATTTTAAGTACCGCAATGCATGGAATTAATAGCCTTCGCTTTGTTCTATAACGACTAATTATATGTACAACCTATGTCCTACAGACTTTGAAAGTTGTATTTATTATTGTGATAATACATATTATTTTGGTAATGCCATGATTTATGTAAATGTCATTACTTATGATAAAGAGCTGGTGAGTTTCTTTCGCTTGTTCTTCTTGTCAGCTAAAAGACGTTCTGAACAAGTGGTAGAGGTCAAAATATATTTGGACGATTCAAAAGTGCTTGAAACAAGTTTACATGAATAAACACATTTTCATTTTATTTCAATAAATAAAACACTCGTAAGAATATATCACGTGATAGATTTTGTAGAACTTTTATTTTTAACTAATCAGATATTATAAATCCAGATTGCCTGAACACTGATGAAAATTCGCTCTGTGGTAACGAAAAAGTAACATGTGCTTGAAAAATTTCCGTTCCGTTAGATCCTGGGTAAGCTCAGTCACCCCGGATTGCGAAAAGTTACGGGTTCGAGTTCCACCGCAGAGTGCCGGGGACAAAGTGGATTGCTTAAGTATTTTTCATAAATAATATTTTTCAGAATAGCTTACGACTAGCCTTAGAAAAAAATTGGTTTAGAATATGATAATTCTGTACAATCTGGCCTACAATTTCAAGTTTCCATAGATTCCACCATATATTAAATTTGATGGTTAATGAATGAATGAATGAAATATTCTTTATTGTACATACACCATACAGTTAAAAAAAATTAGAGATTATAATTTAACAATCAGTACAATAGGCGGCCTTATCGAATAAACCCGATCTCTTCCAGGCAACCGTTACAGAGAGGACAAAATAAACTATAATTGGGTAGGTTATAGCGTCTAAAAGAATCTTTATTACTTATAATATGATACTTACAAATAAATACTTAAATAATAATACATATTTATGATTTAATGTATTTTAGATAATTGTAATGAATTTTTTTCTTTCTTTTTGGTATGATTTTGTTTTTAATTTATTGAAATTTATTGCATATTTTAATTTTCAATTAAATTTATTTGTATAAACTAAATTTTGATTTGTGTATATGAGTGTTAATGCTTGTAATAAGTGGAATAAATAAAATAAATTATAATGGTTAAATGCGTTCAATAAATTATAAATAGTAACATTACCCTTCGTGTTAGATCCGTCAGTATGTTCGCAGCGTGTGGTAATCCTTGCTGGCAGACAGACAACGTGCCCGCAGTTATAGCAGACACATCCAGTATATCAAGACTACATCCATTCGCGGGTAGTTCTAGATATTCCAGATCGCTGTACATGAGCCATTCTGCTTCTAAACAAATAAGATACATACGGTTAATTTTCATTATTATTATTATTAGGCGCCGCCTTCTAGTAACAAAGCAGCATGATGTTTCATCTGCTCGTCGCTAGATGGCAGTGTGCTTCATCTGAATCGCGCTAGTACCAGAGTATAAGCAGTTGGTGCTCTTCATACATACGCACCGGAAATAGTTTGTATGTAAGCGCGCCCGTGCGTATGCATCGTCACACGCACACACTTTCAAAATTATCAAAGTTATAGGAGTTCAAGGCACGAGTGGCTTGAATTGTATATTCGTGTAAGGGGCCATCCATAAATTACGTCACACGTTAGGAGGAGGGGGGGTCAACGAACTGTGACATTAGAACAATATTTAGTAGAATTTGTATAGACAAACATGTGACAGGAGGGGGGGGGGGATAATGAATTTTGTGTGACGTAATTTATGGACGGCCCCTAATAGACAATGTTATATATAAAAAATATGGGCCATTGATAGAAACTGTTTGTACAAAGAACATGATTATTAAAAATTAAGATCGGCAATATCTTATTTTGTAGAAAAAAATAAATAAATACACAATTTATTAAAACCAGACAGGCAAGATAACGGAAAGATAATTCATAAGTCGTGGGCAAATCGTTGAATTGAGCCGATCGAGATCTGCCCGGGCACATCGCGATATGCCATTTCTTGTTTTGGTCAAAATTTTGGCAGCATATCGACGTGAGCAACATATTTGTCGATTTCTATTGTTTAAATAAATAAACTCTGCTTACAAGTGTAGGTAAATAGACAAACGTTAAGCACTGAACGATATGGCGGATGATAGATGTCCATATCAAGAAACGGCGGCATACCTCGAATGGTCCAATTCAATGATTGGCTCACGACACATATATGGGATTAGCCTTCCGCCAGCGGCCTGCGTGATCTAATTTTAAGTCCAGAAATGAGAAAATTACATAAAAACTTTCATCCCCTAATTTATCCCCTTAAAGAGTTGAATATCATAAAATCCCATTTAGTGAACACCTACGTCCTAAAAAGAACCCGCATGCAAAATTTGAAACTCCTAGCACTTGTAGTAACGAAGTTTCATATTAACTTTCATCCCCTAATTCACCTTAACATACTTAAGGGTCGAATCATCAAATCCCATTTAGTGAGCACCTACGTCCTAAAAAGAATCCGCATGCAAAATTTGAAACTCCTAGGACTTGTAGTTTCTGAGATTTCCTGACTAGTGAGTGATCTTTCGCTTTTATGATACTAGCTTTCCACCAGCGGCTTCGCCCGCATGCTCTTGTATTATACATAAAAAGCTTCATTTTGAATCGCCCTATCTATGAAAAAAAACCGCATCAAAATCCGTTGCGTAGTTTTAAAGATAAGCATACGGATATAGGGACAGAGAAAGTGACTTTGTTTTTACCCGACTGCGGGACGCAAAGAAGGGTAATGTGTTTATCAGTCTATGTATGTATGTTTGTTTCTATGTGGCGTTCTAGAGAGTTCTAGAGTACTAAATAACTACACAATTGTTATAGTTTTATAATTGAACGACTCACAGTCGGGGCCCATTCAAATTTTACTAATCAAATCTTCCCAAGGAGCCCCGATTATGAGTCGTTCTGTTCTGCATTAGAATTTTTGATTTGTTTTATGTGTAAACGGATTATTTAACTATTTCAATTTAGTATTACTTAACAGAATTATAAACTACTGGGCTTGTTTCTTTCTTTTGAATTTTTATTTAAGGTTTTGTTTTTCTTTAAATTATTTTATACTATGTAGTGATAGATCTATTTACAGTCTTTTTTGGTAAGGAACCGTAGAACAGTGTACTCACCGACCACATCCGCCCCCCTCTCCTCCATCTTCTTCCACTCGGGCGTGCACATCTCTTCAATTTTCCTATTGACAGATTCATTATTCTTCACTAATGTCAAACAAACCGCGCTACCGCTGGCAGCGGTCTTCGCTCCAGACGGTATTGTCTGTAAGTAAAAACGCAATTATTATTTATTGGATATAACGCTGAATATTCTTTCGGTATTCGGCATCTTTCTCACTATTTATATTCGGCTTTATCATTCGGTTCTATTATTATTATTTTGCCTTTTCTTATTTAACTTTTTTCTAAATTATATTTCGATTTCCTTATGAGTGCACCACTAAAGGAATATCTGGTGTACTTTCGGGGGTCTGCTGTTCTGCGTCGCCGCCGTGGACGCTACGAACTATGAAGGAGGTTGCATTACGTACGCAACCTCACCGCTGGCCGCATAGACGCCACGACGGCATAAAAAGAAGAAAACTTCTTCTGTCATTCGCCTTTTGTCTTTTCACAACAACGCTTAAATATATCAGCCGCATAAATAATATAAATATTTCATAATAAGTATACCCAGACTGAACACCAGAAGGATGTGGACGGAGCGGTATTGGAGTTCGTGTCCAAGTGGCGTACATCAGTTCAGTAAGTACTCTCGATTTTATATCAGAGTTCCATCGGGTGCGCTCTAAGGATAATCTCTTTCTATATTCTTTTCTTTCGCTTTTTTTCTCTTAACAATTATTTACCGCATACGATTAAGATCCCGCGTGAGGTCTCGGCTATTTACACGCCGCCTCTGGAAATTGGCTTTCTGTCAAATCGGATGAAACTATGATGAATGGATAGAGGAAGTCTTCTTGAGTAAAAGTCCTCATGGGCACTAAGCCCGAAAATCGAAACTTTTAGTACTTTTGGGCATTCGAAGTTTTTGATTTTGGATTCTAGCAAAATCAATAAATCCTTGTAGAATCGGCCCAAAGTTCAATTAGACATAAAAGAAAAAATACGTATCGAATATTTTTTCAAGACCTTTCGAACGACACCCTATTTGACCCCCCCCCACTCCCCCACCTACGGGGGTGGAAGGGGAGCGGTTTTTTGCGAAAAAGTTCTTTTATAATGTTATAATGGCCTCATGATTGACGGAACACTTGAGCCGTGCCCGATCGACCCCCCCCCCACCCCACCCACCCACCACACGCGGGGGCGGAGGAAAGAGCTGTTTTTCGCGAAAAAGTTCTTTAAAAGCGTGTTCATGGCCTTTTGAATGACAAACACTCGAGCCATGCTTATTTGTTGGCCCTACAAGGATTTATTGATTTTGCTAGAATCCAAAATCAAAAACTTCGAATGCCCAAAAGTACTAAAAGTTTCGATTTTCGGGCTTAGTGCCCATGAGGACTTTTACTCAGGAAGACTTCCTCTATCCATTCATCATAGTTTCATCCGATTTGACAGAAAGCCAATTTCCACATAAATAAATAAACATAAAACATTTTATAATAATTACCAATTACAATAAATTAAATTAAATATAACTAAAAAAAAAAAAAAAAAATGCGTCACACATTGCACCGAAATAGGCAGCCAATTCAGCTCACTATCAGGTTGCTAAACCTGACGCTGATTTTCAATTGACGCCTAATTGTCTCTTTTTGACACACAGATGTCAAATTGTCGACATGAAAACCTCTTATAAGAAATTTAAAATTAAAAGAAATTAAACATTACAAATAAAAAATTCATTTAAAAATAGTAACTATTTCAATTATCATTATATATGTGTATTGCAATTTACTCATACTTTAAAATAAAATAAATCATCCATTACATTCACCATAAATATAAATAACATGCACATATACATTTAATAAAAATTAGAATTTAAAATTAAACAACTTTTGGAAATTAATATCAATCCATTACAAGAAGCCGCTATATATAAGAGTTATTTGCATTATATATACCTATAGCTATTTGTGCATCCAAAAGATATTTTTTTAGTTTAGTTTTGAAGCCAACTTTCGACTTCATAGCCCTTAGGGGTGGCGGGATATTGTTCCATATTTTGGAAGCAGCATAGCGAAAAGCCCCTTTGAAAGAAGCCGAATTATGTCGTTGTGTAGATAATTGCTGTGAACATTGCCTCCTCTCGGTCTGCCTACCACCAGCGACCCACTTGAGCTTATTGTACAAGTATAACGGTTCTTTGAAATTAATAACACCGAAAAGTAAACATGCCAAATGCAACTTCCTTCTGGATTTCATTTTTAGGATTAAGTGGTCGTTCAGATATGGGGTGACATGACACCTGGCAGGCACAGAAAAACAAAAACGAGCGCAGGCATTCTGTACACGTTGTATGAGTCGCTCAGTCCTACCCAGTAAACGTGGTCCATAAACGGCATCAGCATAATTGAGCTTAGAAAGCACCAGTGATTCGGTTAACTGTACACGCAATTCCTCTGACAGAAATGATCTTATTTTGTATAGGATTTTAAGTCGATAAAAACAATTTTTAACCGAATCTGCAATGTGTTCCTCGAATTTCAGATTTTCGTCAATTTTTAAGCCTAAATTGCGTGCTATGTGAACTCTTTTTATTTTTTTACTATTAAGAAACAGTTCTATATTTTGCGGCAAATCTTGCAGTTGCTTTCTAGTTCCGAACAGCATGAATTTTGTTTTATCAGGGTTTAGCAACAGACAATTTCTTTCCGACCAGTCTGCAACACGCACCAGATCCTCGTTCAAGTTCCTAACAGCACTTTCATAGTTATCAGGTCTAAATGAAACGTATAACTGAGTATCATCCGCATAGATATGATACTGGCAATTTTTTATATGTTTTACCAAGTCCGCACAATACAAATTAAAAAGAATAGGACCCAAGATAGAACCCTGCGGGACGCCTCTTTTTATTGGAGCAATTTGTGATTCGAATAGGTTTCCATTGTCTAAAGCTAAGCTTACATATTGTCTTCGATTACTCAGATAACTATTGAACCACAATAATGCACCACGATCAAAACCATATGAGTTCATCTTCGACAAGAGCAACGGTATATTTAAAGCATCAAATGCGCGAGAGTAGTCCAGAAGAACTAGCAAGGTACACATACCATCATCTTGAGCAGATACAATATTATCAACAACATCAATCAACGCCGTGGTAGTACTTCGTCCCTTGCGAAAACCAGATTGAAACATTGGAAAGATATTATTTTTCTCTAGATATTCGGCGAGCTGTTTACAAACTATTTTTTCAATGATTTTAGATAAGCACGGCAGAATACTTATCGGGCGCAGATCTCCAAAATCCAGAGGGTTGGCAGTTTTAGGCAGAGGACGAACTTTAGCAATCTTCCATACATCGGGAAAAGTATATGTTTTTATGGATGAATTTATGATCTCACATATATAATTCAAAAACTCAGGCAACGTCATTATTAACATTTTATATGATACACCATCAATCCCAATCGCATTCGACTTTAGTTTAAGGGCTGTACGCAAAATCTCGTTAGGACTAACCGAGGCGATCGAGAACGTTGCATCACATAACTTATGAAATTCAAAGTAAGTTAAATTGGAAATGTCAGTTGTTTGAAACCCAGGCACTTTTAGAAAATAATTATTAACTTCATTTGGATCACTAAATTGTGAAGGTATGTCATCTATTTGATTTTGTGGCAATATGGTTTTTTTTAGATTTTTCCATAAAGTTTTAGGTTCATTAATTTTATTATTGATGTTGTAACGGAAATATGCCCGTTTTTCATTTATTAAAGAAGTCGTCACTAAGGACTTTAGCTGCTTATAATATTCTCTACTCGTTTCACACTTATTCTTGCGATATTTAGCCAATGCTTTCTCTCGTAGTTTCATCATTAACCTGATATTGTCGGTTACCCAAGGTGGAGAAGGCTCTTTTACGTAATGCTTCTTAATAGGTGCATGGGAATCAAACATTGTCAAGATGTTCGAATTCAGTTTTTCCACCATTTCATTTACCGTACAATGCGAGAAGTTATCCCAATTCAAATTAGCTAAATCTAAGTTAAATTTTTCAACATTGATATTTTTTAAAGCTCTGTATTGTATTATGCAAGGCTTAACCTTTTCCTTTTTTATATTAAACTCACAAACAATAACTGCATGACCATAGACTTCATTACCCAACATCTCAACAGATAAACACTTCGCCTGAAGATCGGTACATACTAGGTCTATCAGTGTTTCACTTGTGCTTGTAAAGTGAGTAGGGGTTGATACAAACTGATTGAGGCCGAGGCAGCCAAGACTATCGTTTAATTTCTTTGTTTTTCCGTCGGAAACATCGAGCAAGTTTACATTGAAATCGCCTAAAAGAATACAATGATCATTTAGTCCCATTGCACACACTGAATTGGAAATAGCGTCTAAAAAGAGTTCTAGGTCTAACCATTGCGGACGATATGCTGTACCGATCGCGATTTTTTTCCCTTGGACAGTGAGTAATAACCACATCTGTTCAACCAGGGAATACTTTGGATCTGCCGGTAGAGTATGAACTCGTGCGTTGATACCCTTTCTTATATAAAAACCTACCCCTCCCCCACGACCCGAACGTACGGACAATGGACGAGGTGTATGACGCAGACGATACCCCGGCACCACAGGCGCGCGACCCTCCTCACCCCGATACAGCCACGTCTCATTAATAGCCATAATGTCAAAGTCACGCGAGAGAAAAAAGGATATGAAATCATCATGATTTGTACCTAAGGACCCCGCGTTATGAAAACCCAATTGCAAATTATTTTTATGATTCATTATTATAATAGAGTAACAACCGCTTTACATCATCAGTGTGGTAAAAACTGCTCACGGCGACAGGATGTATTTTAATTATATTTAATATAATGATCAAAGTCAGGCACTGAATTAAAATTTGACATATAAAGAATAGAAAAGAAGTTTGACATATCAGTTCGTGTTTCATCCCACAAAATACAAATTCAAGGTTATGTGCGGTCAATACGGAAATTAAGATCAAGCCTATAAATAATTTAAATAAAAAATGACATGTGATTATATTTTCCAAGCCATATACAAAATAATAATTGTAACAATGAATGCATTTAAACAAGTAGATTAAAATTAAGTTTAAAGATAATTCAATACGGTATTCAAACATAAGTTCACTTTGCACATCATAAAATATAACATAATAATTGAAATTGAAAATGCGTAACAAAACATGAATAAAGATTAAGTTAGTAAATAAACCAACTAAACATTTAAACATTATTCTACATTGCATGTAATTAACCACAAGGTAATAGACGTATTTAATACTGTTATTATTTATAGTAAAAATTATGTTTGTAAATAAACCAAACAAACATATTATATATATAACCATACCCTGTGCACTATAAAATATAAAATAATAATTGGAATTGTATAATAAAATTTGAATAATACATAAGACTGAAGATAAATTCATTGAACATTTAGATATAATTTTATATTGTGCATCGTAAAATATAATATAAAAATTGGAATAAATATTGCATTCAAATAAAATGTGAATTAAAAATAGGATTGTAAATAAATAAATTAAAAATTTACATTTGATTTCACATTTCATACCATGAAATATACTATCATAAAAGTTATCGAGACGGTTAATAAATATTATGCGAAACATAATTAAGTTTGCAAATGAATAATTATTGATTAAAAAATATCCGTATGTTTTCGTGGCTAGTTGAGTCAGAAACGGCGCATAAACAAAGTATAATCGATCATTATGCAAGCCAACCGTAAGATCCATTTTTCCTTTAAAAAATCTAATACATGCATTTAATATAACAAGAGAATACACGTTACAAAAAAATAATTCTATCAAACCAAACATAATTAAAAAAATTTGGAAAGATCCTTTTCACAGCGAATCAACTCCACTTTCCCTCCGTCCATTTTTCGAGCCAGTATTTTGCCGTCCCTAGACCAGACATGTTTCCATTTATACTCCTTTCCAGTCTGGCGTGCTAAAAAGTACAATCGACGATTAAAGGAACTGAGTCGTTCATTGACATAAACGTTACCCGACTTCCCGGGCACATCGATATCTTTCGTAGTTAGGTTCCGTCGTATGCGGGCCGCTCGCAGCCACTGGTCTCGCATCAATCGGCGCACGAACCGCACGACAATAGTGCGAGGTCGCAGTGTATTGAGATCGTCATTAGCACTCCCCTCCACTCTATTGCGACGCACTGAACCGACTCGTTCCACGCGTACAATATCTCTCTCCTCGTATGTTATCCCCAACTTTGTAGACAGCGCCATAACTATGTTCGAGAGATTTTCTCCGTTCTGTTCCGGTATTCCAGAAAGATCTATATCGTTCAGTAGAAGCTCCTGGTCCCTGTCATTGAGCTGTGCCTTCAAATGACTTATATTTTCTTCTAATTTGTTGACATTTTCAGGCGTTACTTGAGCGCATTTGGTTTCTAAAGCGCTAAGTCTACTCTCTAGTTCCGACATTTTGACATCAAACCCGCTCAGAGCAGCCTTAAATTCTGATATTTCAATTCTACACTCATGAATCTCATTTCTAACAGCCTTAAGCTCAGCTTTAAGCTCGCTACGGAACGAACGGAGTTCTAGCGCTAAGTCAACCTTAAATTCTTCTGTTATATTGTGCGCCGTGTCGTCCAAATGGACTGGACTCTGCGGACCCGAATAAGCTGCGGACACTTTTATAGGGGTCGAAGAATTATCTTGTCTGTGAACCCTTACTTTACAATCAGGACAGACAACCGGACCCTTCACAGCTGCTGCTTCAGCAATACCAACACATGCTTTATGAAAAGTTACGCTACACTTTTTACAGCGAATACACTCTGTCGCTGCGAGGAACTTTCCACAGCCTCCGCATTTAACCATTTTTGTGTGGATGTTAATGATCAGCAAAGCTGTAATATAAAAGTTGATGGCACAGGTGGCAATAGCACCGCTAAAAGCTATAGTAGCAATCGTGCGCTTATATCCGCTACTACAATCCTAGGATAGATGGCGCAAGTGACAACAGCACAGCAAAAAGCAACAGCGCATGAGTATACAGAGTATACTTAACGCGAAAGTCCCATAAATGTCGCTAGATGGCGTTTCATACATTAAATGATAAATGAGGACAATTTTGCAATCCAATCCTTGCCCTTCTCATGTGCACTGTTAAAGGTCACTTTTCATTCCAATGTTCACTTAATAGCACCATCAATTCAGAGTTCTTTAAAAAAAAAGAATCGTTTATTATTGCTTTACACAGGGTAGTTTCACACAAGGTTCACAGATTGTAAATTAAACTGGCCGTTTTCACTTTTATTAGTATCTCAAAGGACTCGATAACGATACACAGCACTCATGAGAACTATTTTACTTTCTGAGTATATTAAATTTAGGAAGAAAAACTTTCAAATAATTTAATTTCTTCGAAAACACTCTAAGATAAGAAAGCTATTCGACATAAATTATATTTCGATTTCCCTATGAGTGCACCACTAAAGGAATATCTGGTGTACTTTCGGGGGTCTGCTGTTTTGCGTCGCCGCCGCGGACGCTACGAACTATGAAGGAGGTTGCATTATGTACGCAACCTCACCGCTGGCCGCATAGACGCCACGACGTCATAAAAAGAGGAAAATTTCCCCTGTCATTCGCATTTTGTCTTTCACAAAAACGCATAATAAATATTTACCAGCCGCATGAATGATATATAAAATTTCGCATAATATACATCCAAGACTGAATACAAGAATAATTGTGAACGTTACGGCAGTGACTGTTCGTGTCCAGGTAGCGTACATCAGTTCGGTAAGTACTCTCGATTTTATATCAGAGTTCCATCGGGTGTGCTCTAAGGATAATCTCTTTCTATATTTCTTTAATTTCGCTTTTTTTCTCTTTAACAATTATTAATAATCGCACATGATTAAGATCCCGCGTGAGGTCTCGGCTATTTACACGCCGCCTCATCATAAACATAAATATGTATTCTAATGCCACTTACCAAATTGAGTTCAATAGAACCGTCCTTCAGTTTGTCCAAATATTCAACAGCGGGTGGTGTTAATGCATTAGAGTTGCATTTGCACTGCATAGTGACGAGTGACACTTCAGAAGGTAACGTTGATAGTGACAAATTTGATGGACACTCGTATATATTCTCCAGGGGTGTGATTTCGATGTTACCTGTTAAAAAAATATACATATGCTTTAATGCACAAACAACTTTTAAAAAAAAAATTAATTTCTAAAAAAAATATTTTTTAAATATCATTCATATCATTAGTTAAAATCTAAATATAAATTTAATTTCTGTTATGGCGTCTCTATGACGTCACAGTCTTCTTAAACAAACATCGTTCTATGTATGCATAAGGTCCTGATATGAGTAAGAGGGGCGTGACGTCACGCACCGTTTGCGGTTATTGTTAAGCAAGTTTCACAAGGGTCGGTCACGAGATGGGTGACCAAAAAATTATATGTTTCGAAAGGCACGTTAAGCCGTTTGTCCCGGCTGCATTTGCAGTAGTCAATACCCTCGCGTTTGGCCCGCGTGGAGGGTCACAGCCCATCCTCCTTAACCGTCCATAAGGAAGGCCTGAGCCTACAGTGGAATGTAAAAGGGTTGATTATGCTATGTCATAGCCTTCCGCAATGTATATCACTCACGCGAAAAGAGACATATATATCTTTTAGCTCGAAGATATATATCTTTTATATCTCGCTCTTTTAGCTCGAAAATATATATTCAAATTCATTTATTCTAGTACAGACATAAGACAGTTTATGTTGTAAAAAAATATGATAATTCACAACACTAGACAATAAAACATTAGATTTAATTAAATATGTGACATTTCAAATTCAGCATCCCATGACTGCACCAAAAAGGGTGACTAGTTCAGCATTTGTCAGCTAGGGCTAAAGCTGATTTTCAACTACCTCTTTTGTCTATCTATCTTTTACTCTATCTCTTATATCTCGCTCATTTCGATAGAGAATAGGTTCGGCCCCGTGATTGTCTAATTTTAAATCTATTGCAATCGCTTTCAGTTTGAAAGGTGTTGCACAACCATTGCTGCATAATACAAATACTTTTTTTCACCTGTCTTCAGAAACAAGCAATGGTTATACAACATCTTTCAAAACGCTTTCGGTTATAGCGATAGGTTTTAAAGTTAGACAATTAGTCCCCTGTTCTCTTTCAGTGAGCGAGATATAAAAGATAAATATTCAATTGGACACGATAACGCAAAGCGGTTTAAGTGAAACATTCGCAACTCAATTCTTTTGGTTTGAAATCATTATGTTAACTTATTAAAAATAAATGGCTATTTACAAATTTTATTAACTATATGTAGATTCGTACTATAATATTAACATTTTCCTACATTCATTTACCTAATCATTATTTACTTTTTTAATTTTTATTAATATCAGATGTCACGCGCTGATTTATGTTTCGTTTGACTAGAAACAGAGACTATATATATTTAAAAAAAAAATACACATTTTACTTCTTGAAACACAACTTCAGAGCGAACTAGAAGTTTTGCAAGGACTATTTCATTCACTTGCAGTTATCATGTTACAAAGATATAAAGATATATTTCAAACATAGGCGAGCAAACTGATATATTATCTCACTTAAGACAAATGTTTCATTTATATCCTACCACAATGTTGTAATTAATCTGAATTATTTATATTTATGTATGTATGTATTATATATTTATTTATGTTATGTAATTTGTTATCTTATGTACATTTATTTCCATTTTTTTAAATATATATATATATATTAAGTGTTACACACTTTATTTATATTTTTGTATAGCACCGCCTTATTCAATTCTCTATGTCTTAACTCTCCGGTTGACTGGTAGAGAATGCCTACTGGCATTAAGTTCGCCATTTGTATACTTTATTTATGCAAAACAGCTTAAATAAATCAATGTATCACTCGTTCACGATCTACTCAAGTCTAGATAATGCCTGATCACTCACCAAACTCGATGTACTCCAACAAATACTTGTTCTGTTTTACGTTTGTCCGCTTGCAGAGAGCTCTGTAATGTAGTCCATCGGAGAACTTGCCAATAACCGTTTGACCCTTTGCTGGAGGCTCTTTAAGAGGTGAAGCTGCAAAGAATAAAATTGAATGGATACATCTAATCATTTATTGCATTTCAAATTTAAATCTTTCCTATTTTAATAATAGTTTCTTTATTTTGTACAAATATCAATTTGTCTTCCCAATTATGTCTATATGTGTCTATATATATATATATGTCTTTCGCATGCGTGCGTGCGTGCGTGTGTGTGCGTGTGTGTGTGTGTGTGTGTGTGTGTGTGTGTGTGTGTGTGTGTGCGTGTGTATGTGTGCGTGCGTGTGCGTGTGTGTGTGTGTGCGCGGCGGCGTTAAGTTAATGAGAGAAAGATCAATAATTATACATACACGAGTTGTATGGTATAAAAGACGGCAAAGTAGGCAGAACTAATTGCGGCCAGTTTTAATATTAAAATAAGAAAAAAATTGCCAGCTTTCAAACTAAACTGAGTTTACAATCAGATTTCTATTAACACTATAGCTCATGGAGTCAATGAGTTAAATATATTGACCAAATTTTACTATGGATCCAACACTGAATTCAACAAAAAATAATCACCTGTTTCATACTGTCAAAGTTTGTACTTATTAAATTTTTTTATGAAACAGCTTATTATTTTATTGTGAATTCAGTGTTGCTCTCATATTAAAAGTCGTTCAGTATACTTAAATAATCCACACCACGAAGTCCTGGCACATAGTAATTTTTTTACATTAACAGTTCTATTAATAAACAAACTTTAGCGTTAGAGTAAATTTACACTAAAGTAGTAAATTTAGTATTAATACAAACTCATAATTACACAGAGAATAAGCAAATCTACCTTCTAGGAGTAAACATTACTCCCATAGAACCTCGTACTAGGTTAACCTTTGCCAAGTCTCTGTATAATAATATGAATTTTGACCAATACTAAGTGCAGTCTCAGCGTAAACTTACTCCGACGCTAAACCTTGTTTATTAATCCCGTGTTACCATATCACTAACTCGTTTTCGACAATCTACATTTATTTTGCCATCTTTGATACTATACGACTTGAATATTAGTATATTTACACTGAAATGAAATGAAAATGTCTTTATTCAAGTAAGCACTTTTGAATCGTCCAAAAATGTTTTTATTCCCCTACCACTTGTTCAGGACATCTTTTAGCTGACAAGAAGAACAAGCAAAAGAAACTTACCAGCTCTTTATCATAAGTAATGACCAGAGGTCGGAATTAGGTAGAGTTATTTATGTACTTGCATCGAAATGTTGATATTAATGTGGACCTTCTCGGGATTTTTAATGGACAATCTTGGACATCTTTGGACATCCGATGTCATTGATGTAAGTTTGGCAACGTCGTGCGTGCAGTAGTTTAAATTGCGTAAAAGTAAATAACTTTGTATTTAAAAAATCACGGGATTTTTCTGCTCTTTAAAATTAATCTCGGGATTTGAGGCATATCCACTTAATTTTTTCGCTATATGAAATCGGTGTAAGTACATGAATAACTCTACCTAATTCCGACCACTGGTAATGACATTTACATAAAAAATGTCATTACCAAAATAGTAAGTATTAAAACAATCACATCACCAGCCCTTTTACGTCCCCACTGCAGGGGCTCAGGCCTTCCTTGATGATTAAAGAGGATGAGCCATGACCCTCCACGCTGGCCGAATGCGGATTGGAGGGTATTAACGACTGCAAATGCAGCCGGGACCAATGTCTTAACGTATCTTCCGAAACACGGCGCACATCGAGATAGTAATTTTTTGATCACCCATCCCGTGACCGACCCTTGCGAAAGTTGCTTAACGACTACGATCGCGGGCCGCGGCGCTAATCCACTACGCCACCGAGCTACTCTATTATAACAATAATAAACAATTGCACACACACACCCACACACACACACAATTCGCGTCTTGCTGTATTTGGTCGAGGTTGTTTAATTTTAATTTTGTTTTATGTATTTAAATAATGAAAATCCGTAATTGGCATTAAGATATGTTTGAATTGTTCTTCTACTATTAAGATAAGAACTTGCTCTGGATTTTTTTCTTGAAATAAATAACTAAATAAATACAACTTTCACTCACCATTTCTGCCGTATAACACAACGTCCTGTAACACGTTGTCGAACTTCTTCTGGGACTCGATATCGGCCGGTCGTACGAAGGCTCTATCTATAGCGGTCGCGTCCACAAGTAGTACTTTCGAGTTGTTCACTACATCGGGCCGAGGCACTTCGGGGATTTGTGGCTGAACTGAATGGAAACCAATACGATTGTTTACTCATTTCAGCGACTTTAAAAACAGAGGTAGAGGAGGATATAGGGGGGTGGTTACGAGGGTCACAACCCCCCTCAACGCCGGAGTCCAGGACCTAGGCGAACTACAAATGAGAAAGTATTAAAAAAGAAAGCACTAAAAAGCACCTCCACTAGATGGCGACTCCAGCAAAAGTTGATTTTTGCAGGAAACGAATGGACCAAAGACAGTCATTTCCGTTCCTTTTAACTAACATATTAAAAAACTGAAATCTGCAAAAGTTCGAAACTTAGATATCAATACAAATAGAATACGAGTTGTTTATTGAGTTTTGAAAACTAATTTACTTTTATACATGAAAGAAAACCGGAAGGGTTGTCATAGGGAAATCAAGAAAGTACCGTAGCGAGATCTAGTTTGATTTAGGGAACTATTTTTTTTAAATACTTCCCCATTAAAATGAAACGATACCATTTAAGTATCGATTCTTTTACTCGATATCGTATCGGTTACGAGGTATCGAAACCTATTAATATTTCTTCAATTTTACATTCACAATGTTACACTGAAAAATATTCTTAATATTCGGAAGCGGCCTTTTTTTTTACTTTTTAGAACATTAAAAAAAAGTTAACTTTTTTTTAATGTGCGTTGATCTATCACTTGTATTATTTTATTATTATTTATGCATACCTAAAATCGTATTTAATCATAATAAGAACGACGCTGGAAAGCAAACACGTAGTAAACCTACAAAACCAAAATGTATATTTAGAGTGGAAAATCTTTAATATTTTTCCAAAAAAGAAATATCTTATTTCCGTATAAATTGACTAAGGAACACCTTATTTGTAACCATGGACGTTTATAGAAATTATTTATCGAAAAATAGAAGTTTTTCTACTGTAAAGAAAAATTTTGGTTTTGCGAGTTATTATCAGTGGTCGGAATTAGGTAGAGTTATTCATGTACTTACACTGATTTCATACAGCGAAAGAATAAAGTGGATATGCCTCAAATCCCGAGATTAATTGTAAAGAGCAGAAAAAATCCCGTGATTTTTTTAAATAAAAAGTTATTTACTTTAACACAATTTAAACTACTGCACGCACGACGTTGCCAAACTTACATCAATGAAAGAAAGAAGAAATAAAGAAATCCCGGGATGGTCCACATTAATATCAACATTTCGATGCAAGTACATAAAATAACTCTACCAAATTCAGACCTCTGGTTATTATGTATACAGCGTCAAAATATTGTACCTTGATATCTTAAGATCTATCACACAGTATGAATCTCTTGTGAGTCCATGATTTTTCCTAACCACACCCCGCTCCCCGCGCTTAACCAAGATGATGTTGGCCAGAGATATGGATAGATAGAACTCACTTATACTAGTATTATTAACTGCCACCTTCTGCGGGTATTCGACAGTGGGCAGCCACCGCGAGACTTCGCCCTCGCCGACCGAAGCCCCGGTCTCCACATTCTCCAGGGACACTTTACAGGCGTCCGGTGATTTCGACAGAATCGTACACTTTAGATTGTCACCTAACTGCAAACAGAATATCATTATGAAATTAAGTTGAGCGCCGCGGTCCGCAATCGTTGTTGTTAAGCAACTTTCGCAAGGGTCGGTCACGGGATGAGTGACCAAAAATTTATTATCTCTAGCTACTCCGTGCTTCGGAAGGCACGTTAAGCCGTTGGCCCCGGCTGCATTTGCAGTCGTTAATACCCTCCAATCCGCATTGGGCCAGCGTCCCATCCTCTTTAACCATCCATAAGGAAGGCCTGATCCCCTGCAGTGGGGACGTAAAAGGGCTAGTGATGATGATGATGTAAGTATTGTTTTATAGTAATATACTTTAAATTAATAATAATTATTTTTATCAGGCAATCTATGGAGGCCAAAAGATAAAAAGGGTAAAGATTATATGGGCTATTGGGTGAAACGACAGGAAGGATACAAGATATATCATAATAAAAACTATTTTATTATTGCTAGCTTTCCGCCAGCGGCTTCACCCGCGGGAATTGTTTAATTGGATATTGATTCATATAATTAAACGGATATAAATAAAATGACAAATTGAATAGTAAACAATGGTTACTGTGGTAACATTTCTCTATACAAACTTCCACTACCACTTCTATCCCTTTGTTTGCTGTATTTTGGTATAATATATATGTCCACCGTGTATAATGTACTTCCCGTAGGTGAATTTTTAAAATGTAGTGATTATTTGTATAAACGACGGAAGGTGGAAATCTTGCTAATACTTGAATAAAATACAAAAACAAGAATATCTTTTACATTTCTATATATTTAAACAAAATAAAGATTTTGCACATAGAGGTAGGAAGGGTACAAATTTATGTATTCCAACTCAAAGACTCGTTGTGAATTCGAAGAACTCATATTGTATGAGTATACGCATTTATAATAAATTACCGAATAATATTAAAACTACTGATAATGTTATTACATTCAAATCCTGTTTATTTAAATATTTAATGGATAAAAATTATTATTCAATTAATGAATTCTTGCAAGATAAATCTCATTCTTAATTATTATATGAATGCTTTGATTATAACATGAACCTATTGTATCTTTTGACTATTATTTGACTGTCAGAAGGTAATGACAATTACAATTTAACAAAACTTAAAAAAACAATGGAATACTTCAAATTTAAAAAAGGGAAATATAATATTTATCTTTAAATCAGTAAATATTTTCGGTTAAGTATAATTTTCCATATTTTTTAAGTTTTTATTTCATGCACTTATTGTGATATTTTGAGTTTTGTGGTAATGAACATCGCCAGATCTAGACTTTTTTTTAAGTTGGTTAAAAATACTCGACAATCTGAATTTTGCGGATACATGTTGTAGACTCGCAGTCCTTATTTTTCAGTATTATATTATTCAGTTAAGGAGAAAGAAGAAAGAGGAGAATACCCTATTAATACTAACCTTCACAGCGGAAGCGTTCAAAAGACAGCAGAACTCCGGATACTGCTCATACTTAGCGGGCAATATCTTCAGTTTGTCTGTTTGTTTGATCGTCACCAGTTTACAGCTATCTATGAGGGCTGCCAAGGATGATGTTAGACTGCGAGCTCTATACCAGCCTCCATCTTCAGCGTTCAAATACGAGAACGATTCACCTGGCTTCGGACTGGAAACAATGTGCTAGTTTAGCGGGATAAAAAGTAGCCAATATATAATTACAGGCTAAGAATAATTCTTATACCAAATTCCATGATTAATTATAGGTATGTACCAACCTATGTCCTACAGACTTTGAAACTTGTATTTATTATTGTTCAATATATGTATTATTTTGGTAATGCCATGATTTATGCAAATGTCATTGCTTATGATATGAGCTGGTAAGTTTCTTTCGCTTGTTCTTCTTGTAAGCTAAAAGACGTCCTGAACAAATGGTAGGGGAAAAATTTTTTTTGGACGATTCAAAAGTGCTTGTAACAAGCTTACTTGAATAAGGCATTTTCATCTAATTTCATTTCATGAAAATCCGTTCAGTAATTTTTGAATGAAGAAGTAATAAACTATTTATAATATTAAGTTAGATTTTTAGTCTTGTATAAATAGCTTAAATAAATGATTTGGACATCGATTCATATCACCGTGTCGTGATATGAATCGATATAATGAGGGAGTATTTAAAAAAATATATATTAGTTTCCGAAATCAAACTAGATGTCGCTACGGTATTTTCTTGATTTCTCCATGACAACCTTTCCGGTTTTCTTTCATGTATAAAAGTAAATTAGTTTTCAAAACTCAAAAAGCCAACTCATATTCTATTTGTACTTTTTCGCATTTGTATTGATATCGAAGTTTCGAACTTTGCAAATTACAGTTCTTTAATATGTTAGTTAAAAGGAACGGCAATGGCTGTCTTTGGTCTATCCGTTTCCTGCAAAAATCACGACGACTTTTATTAGAGTCGCCATCTAGTGGAGGTGTTTTTTAGTGCTTTCTTTTTTTTAATACTTCCTCATTACAATGACAAATTGAATAGTAAACAATGGTTACTATGGTAACCTTTGAAGTCCCTATACAAACTTCTACACTCATTTTCAAAATATAGCTAAATATAGCCTATTCAACGTAAACAAATAATCAAAGCTTAATAATACTAGTATAAATAATATCAATCGCTACTTCGAAAACAGATTCAGTTGTCTGTTTTTTTCCGTATATTAAAGACACCTTATTTCATTAACCTTAAAGTTCAATATAAACAATACTCACGTATAATTTTCCTTCTCGTTCTCGCAATCGACGACGTACACTTCGCAAAGGTTCTGGTATTCAGTCTCGAATTTCTCGTGCATAGACAAACAGACGAAGCCTGGTCTATTGCTGCGGCAATCCGCGCCGTTCGAGTCCACAGACAAAAGAACGGAGTCGCCCACAGACAATAACTCTATGAGGTAGCTGGTGAATAATCATATCAAATATTATGTCATATATTATCACCTTCATCATCCCCTTTACGTCCCTACTGCCTTCCTTATGGATGGTTATGGAGGATGGATTGTATCTCTCCACGCTGACTCAACGCGAGGGTATTAACGACCGCAAATGCAGCCGGAACTAACGGCGCTTAACGAGCACAGTTGTGAGAGATAATAAATTTCTGGTCACCCATCCCGGGACCGACCCTTACGAAAGTGGCTTAACAATAACGATCGCGGGCTGCGGTGTTAATTCTTATGAGAATTTGGAAAAATATTCTTAATGTATAATGGTTAAAAAATCCACTTTATCCCCGGCACTCTGAGATGGGACTCGAACCCGTGACAAAATTGGTCAAATAAAATAATTAGAACAAATCTCATCTTTATCGAAAGTTTCATCACCAGCCCTTTTACGTCCCCACTGCAGGGGCTCAGGCCTTCCGTATGGTTAAGGAGGATGGGCCATGACCCTCCACGCTGGCCCAATGCGGATTAGAGGGTATTAACGACTGCAAATGCAGCCGGGACCAACCGCTTAACGTGCCTTCCGAAGCACGGAGTAGCTCGAGATAATAATTTTTCTGTCACCCATCCCGCGACCGACCCTTGCGAAAGTTGCTTAACGACTACGATCGCGGGCCGCGGCGCTTATCCACTACGCCACCTACCTACTATCGAAAGTTTAAACATTTGTAAAAATATTTCTTTCGTCTGTTCGTGTGGATTGCCTGAACATTGATGAGAATACGCTCTGTAGTTGCGGAACCTAACAAGTGCTTGAAAGATTCGTCAGTCCTGTTAGGTCCTGGGTAGCTCAGCGGTTAGAGCAGGCGCCCGCATTGCGAAAGGTCATGGGTTCCAACCCCATCTCAGAGTGCCAGGGGCAAAGTGGATTTTTTAATCGTTTTTCATTAAGAATAACCAACTTTAAGTTCTTATTTACTTCAAATTCTCCACTGTTGGTATTAAAACATTTTCTCAAATTATTATTGTTACTCAAGTGACTACTTCTCCTCGCTGTTAGAGACGAGTGTTACGGCCGATTTCTTAATTGAGAATAGTACATAATCTCAACTGATTAAATAACTTATTTTTTTTACATTTCACATGGCAGAGTCCTAGTTTTTATCACACCAACTGATCAATAAAAAACCAGCCAAGTGGGAGTCGGACCAGTGTATGAAGGGTTCCGTATTGTTATCTGTGATAAATCTATAAAAAAATCACGTTCGTTGTATGAGAGCCCCCGTAAATATTTATTTTATTCTGGCTTTTAGTATATGTTGTTGAAGCGTCAACAGAAATACATAATTTGTAAACATTTCAACTAATTTACACGGTTCAAGAGATACGACCTTGTGACAGACAGACAGATAGCGAAGTATTAGTAATAGGGTTCCCGTTTGCCAATTCGGATACGGGATTCTTAAAAACTAAAATCAGAAACGAAGACCTGTTTAAGTACAGTTTGAGACGTGCTCAACTTTAAATACTCAATATTCTTAAAAACGCTTAGAATAACCACTTCGCCCCTGGTACTCTAAGATTAGAGATGCGCCTAATAGTGGTTTCACCGAATAACCGAATAATATTCGGTTGAATCTTAAAGGAACTGGATATTCGAACGAATTATTCGGTTTACCAATTAGTTTTTTCTTTTTTTTGTAATTTATCCAAGCGTCAATAAACGATTATTATATTATATTGTAATTGTTTTTGTTAAGCCAGTGTCGTAAAGTGCCTCTGGTAATGGTGTGTGTATAGCGTACGGTTATTTTGGAAGCAAGAAACCTATGTATATAAAGAAATAGGCAACAGACTTGACGAAGAGAGCCGAGAGCTTGGTATTTTTGCACCATAATTTAACATTAATTAATTATAAATATTAGTATATATGTTTCTTTTTGCTTATCTTTTATTTCATTTCTGATCACTGCTATATTTTTATATTATCTCTCTGTCTCTATACTTATACCTCTGTTTTAGTGTTTATTTTTGTCAATTTGTCCCTTAAATTTATTCATTAACAGTTTATAAGGTCGAATAATATAAAGTAAAAAAAAAAAATTTGACTATAGTTTACAAAATAAATATTTATGATTTCATAGCATTAATTTGACTTTTAATGTTATATAAATCTTACAAAAGAAGTTTTGTATTTTAGTTCTATACCTTGTTATGTATCCAAGAAAATATAAATACTCGAACCGAACATATTCTACCCCGAAACCGAATAATTCAGCCGAACACTAATAGTGAAAAAGACGCCGAATACCGAATACCAAACGAAAATTCGGCGCATCTCTATCTTAGGAGGGTACAATTTTTTTTAAGCATATGAAATATGAAGAATATTTTCCTGTAAAGCATTTTGAATGTAAAATTATGCAAATATAATAATATAAATACTCAATTCAAAAACAGGGTGTTAATGTACTCACTTTTTAGGCACTATCTTCTTAGAGAACATCACATCCTTCAAACTGCCAGGTCCTTTAACGCCGTTGGTCATCTCACTAGTTTTAACATTATCCAGATTAGGCGTAGTGTTCACTGTGGGCACATCTAGTGGTTTAGGTTTAGTTTCGGCTGCGTTCACATTTGGTTTAGGTGATGGTTGATCTTGTTTCACTTGAGGTTGATTCTTATTAACCGTAGTTGGAGTTTGCACATCTGTTGTAAGAGAGAAAGAAAGAAAAATAATTTATCGTTGGGCATACAATCCTCACAACAACATTTCGCACACTTAGATCTAAACTGAGACACCTCAAAAATGTGATTGAGTTTTGACTTAGTACAATATTCAAATACTCGGTGATCTATCCAACATAACAGATTCAATAAAGGTTCGGGGATGAGCCGCTAGATAACTTTAGCTTTCTTTTGGTGAATCAACAGTGGTCGCGCTCCTGCCACGTAAACAAATGTATTGTCAAACCTCCAAATTAGTTTTTTGAGTTGTCTTAGTTTAGATCTAGGTGTGCGATTTGTATATATACGAGTAATACAAAAAAATTTTTTTTTTTTTACATATGTTATGAATGATATGTGATGAACACTGGACTCAACTCAGGTGGTAGTCAATGCATTTTTACCTTAGGCGATTCCTAAATATTTAGGCGACTCCTAAGTTTATAAGTTGTGGTTTTAACATTGCCAGACACGTGCATAAATATTTTGTTATAAATATTGAAATACTATTGTTTTAGCTTATACCAAATACCTACCCACAAATTCTATCTCTGACTATTATACAAATCTGTCAAATTTAAACCTTAACGTTTTGAAGGTATAGTTAAAAATTAACTGAAGAAATATGAAAAGTCGCTCGGTGGCTTAGAGGATAAGCGCCGCAGCCCGCGATCGTAGTCGTTAAGCGACTTTCGCAAGGGTCGGTCACGGGATGGGTGACCAAAAAAAAATTTTTCTCGAGCTCCTTGCTTTGGGAGGCACTTTAAGCCCTCGGTCCCGTCTGCATTTGCAGTCGTTAATACCCTCCAATCCGCATTGGGCCAGCGTCCCATCCTCCTTAAA